TATCCTTTTCCATCACTCTACAGATCACTGCATCAGGTATTGATCAAGAGTCACATAGTAGTCATAAAGCAAATAACCAGCCTAAAAGGCCTCAACACTATCCATATTAACAAATGCTACTTCTCACACCTAACAGTCTTTTCCTATATTTTAATGTATCCATTAATAAAATTCATTTGCCATTTTTCCAAAATAGGCAACTTAGGCTAGGCAGGAAATAAATTAAGCATTGCCTGATTTTTGGCACATCAGCCAATTTCTGACTATTTGTAGAAACATGATAGTACAAGATTTGAAGTCTGCCCTTTACTTGGTGTGACTCTAGGCTTAATCTCTCTAATGCTTAATTTCCTCTTACAAAACGGTGATAATCACAGTACCAACTTCACAGGCATATTGTGAGCTTTGCTAGCATACAGCACGTGTTCAGCAAATACTAGCTATTACTAAGCAATACCAGTGGTGGTTAAGATTTTCATACAAACAGCTTAATAGAAATTCTGCTTTTTCATTATTTGAAAATCTGTCTTTAACACATAGTGAAAAGACTTTTTAAAGTCATTCAGATTTATGTACAGGATAATCACTGCAGGGTAAAGAAACTTATATAAGCTCACCCAGAGATACAGTGAAAAGTTAATAATGTCTATTTCTTTCCAGTTTTTAAGCTTATCTGTATTAAAAAACTGGAAAGAAACAGCCATTAACATTTTACAGTATCTCTGGGTGATGGTATTATTGGTGTGATTGTTTTTTTTTCTTTATATTTAGTTTTACAAAATTTCTTTAATGTACATGGTCTTACTCGGCTAATTAAGGGAAACAGTTATATATAAAAGAAAGACCTGTTTTTTATAACTCATATTATAATAAAATCTATAAAGAACTCCTAAGGAGAGCAATCCTGTTTCTAAATTGCTGGTTTACAGCCTTAGTATCTATACACCACAAAGGAAGTAGTAAATATTAAGCAACAACATACTGTTCTAGTAAAGACTAATTGAAAAATAAGGTTAAAATTATTACAGAAAATGGAGATTTGGGGAATATTTTCATTATATTTACCGGTTGAGCATCAAATCTGATAATCTGAAATGCTCCAAACCCGAAACTTTTTGACCACTGACATAACACTCAAAGGAAATTTTCATTGGAGCATTGTGAATTTCGAATTTTTGGGTTAGGGATGCTCAACCAGTAAGTATAATGAAAATATTCCAAAATCTCAAAAAATGTGAAATCTGAAACACTTCTGGTCCCAAGCATTTCGGGTAAGGGACACACACAACTTGTACTATCAGACCATTATCTTATGCCCCCAGTCTCTATGAAAAACCTGATTCTAATTGGGTCTAACTTGGAATCTGTGTTAAATATCAAAGGGGAGGGAGGGTGCAGTTACAAGTCTTAAAAACCAGAAAAAAGCTCATCTCCACAAGAAAATGTAACTATGTTCTTAAGTCTACACTAAAGCATTTTAAGAGATTAACTGTTCTCCTTGAAGTGAATCTAATTTGTAAGTGTCAAATTTCAATCTTCATTCAGTAAGTGGAAACCATTTTAGGGTTCTGGAAAGTGAGAAACATATCACACTAAAGTACAACAATCACAATGGAAAGATGATAATTAGCTTAAAAGAGTCAAAATTTTCCCTCTTTTAAAGCTGTTGACAAGAATGGGTGTAGAGCAGTAGGTGATTTTAAAACCAGATATTCAACTAGTCTAACCGGTAGGGTCACACAGAAATACATTTGAGAACAGGAAAAACCAGCTTTAACCACATAAGTTCATGTCAGAGTAGAAAAGTTAAAAGGTCAATGAAAATTACCCCCAGCCAACTCTCAAACTATGAGGTAATTTTATCCCCCCCCCCCCAAGCCTTTTTGGGCTATTTTTTTTTTTTTTTTTTTTTGTCTTTTTGTCTTTTTCCGTGTCCGGCAACGGATCGCAACCCTCAGTGTTGCCCCCGTACCGGGGACCGGCAACGGGATCGCAACCCTCGGTGTTGCTCCCGTGCCTCGCTCAGCCAGTGAGTGGGAACGGGGGTGTATGTGGGATCCGAACCCTCGGGCGGGAGCACCACCGCGCTTCCCAAGCAGCGCACTATCCAGTGCGCCACCGGGCCGGCCGGCCCTGGGCTTATCTTATGATTAGCAACTACATTAAAGATAGAATTTTTGCAAAATAATGATTTGTGAGATAGTAAACTATTTCACTGTAATGGAATTCTATTTTGGTGAATTCAAGTAATCCTAGAAGGAACTCAAAAATCTTACTCATTTTAGATTGTAATCACACCACTACGATCAGCTGTTGAATCAGTTATTTAACAGTTATAAGGTTCACTAGATAAGTTCAATTTGATGGTTAAAAATGAGATTTGTGGGCTGGCTGGTTAGCTCACTTGGTTACAGCATGGTGATGGTAACACCAAGGTCAAGGGTTCGGATCCCTGTACAGGCCGGCTGCCAAGAAAAAAAAAAGTTTTGATAAAAGCCTGTGCATTTCACTCATGCATGCCCCCACTGTTCTTTATTACTGGCACTTAATTATCTGTGTTAACAGAAGGCTGTATCACCAAAGATAATCTAAAAATCCTTTTTATTTGGCTTAGGGATACAATAGCTCTCCATCCCACAGCACAGAGCACTAAAGTACACAGTACAGTACACAGTACAGAAGGTCTTTGGTGCCAGGCTCTAACCTCCCAATAAATATATGTCTCAGCTATGGGGAACAAAGTATCAATTCTTAAGCCATAATATCATGACTTCACAGTTTGCTTATCAAAGTCCTACTCACCCTTCACATCTTAATTCAAGCAAAACTTATTGTAAAAATTTCCCTCAAGAGTAAGCACCCCTCCTCTATGCTTCCGCAGTAATACTATATAGTCACACTAAGGTAGTAACAGCAGTTGTTTACACATTAGTCTCATGACTAAATTCTAAGTTGTGGAGGACAGTCACCACGTGAGGCTCATCTTTGTAATGTGAAGCCCTAGTCTAATAGACAGACTACAACAAATTATCAAAACATATTTTGCATTATTTGATAGATATTGCACTAAAATTTTTCTTAAAATGTGGGCAATTCTTGAACATACACCAGATGAAGTTATATGAAGTGAATATGGAGCTGACTAAAAATTGACTACATAAGAATCACGAATGACTTTTATGTCCAAGTTGATTATTTGATACTTTCACACAGAAAAAGAAATCATTTATACTTAAAAAGTATAAATTCTGGGCCGAGCCCGTGGTGCACTCGGGAGAGTGCGGTGCTGGGAGCGCAGGAGCGCTCCCGCGGCGGGTTCGGATCCTATATAGGGATGACCGGTGCGCTCACAGCGCTCACTGGCTGAGCGCGGTGCGGCCTGTCTCAAAAAGGACAAAAAAAAAAAAAGTAGAAATTCTTATTCAAGACACCTGATCCAGTATGAAACTTAAAAAAAAAAAACACCAAAAACCCAAGACTCTGTATACTGACCATGCTAACAACTGTGGTATGACTTAGGGCAAAAGAAGAGAAGAGTTGTAAAAAGTTCTTATCTGAAAAACATATGTAATATAAAACTTATAAAAATACATACTATTGTGTGTATGAAGCAGCCAGCACTCAGTGGAGGACATAGCATTGGTAGAGTAATCTTTTTCTTACAGGAATGCTTGGATATAAACAACTGGACTTTGGCTATCAACTCCTATTGTTTATATTCATTAAAAACTCACACTGCAAGTATTATGTCCCCCAGTGTGTTGACTGCTTCACAAAGTACCTCATTCATCTAATTTAATCCTCACCTCAACTCTAGGAATTAATTGCTATGTGCCTGAAAAAAATCTAAAGAAGTTGAAATAATTACAGCAAAAATCAAGACTCAAACCCAGATCTTGACTCTAGTGCCACTGCATCATGCACCATCGCTGTTTCAAAAAATGCTGTAGAGCTGTTAAATGAAATACTGACTCCCCATTTCAGAAACAAAATTTTTGTAACCTCGTGAAAAAAATCTACTCATACTACGTGTTTGCCTTCTTAACAACAGTACACTGATTTTTAAATCAAAAATTCATCTTAAACTTACCTCTTAATTCTGGACAGTTGGGATTAAGAAAAGGAGAAAAAAATCCTAAGTAATCCCACAAAATCGGAAAAAAATTACTAAATTCAATTTTAGTTAGTACATGTACCCTTAACTAATAATGCCAAAAGACACCAGCTGTGACGAATTTATCACCCAGAGATTTTCCCCATATGTATTTGCTTTCGTACTTCAAATAGTATTTTTTACTGTAGTATTTTTGGTGTGTGTGTGTACACATTCAGCTTCACTACGCAGCTTAATCAAAATGTGGGAGTATTCTACTACTGGGGACTTCCATATTTTTACCCCTTACGCCAACAGGTCTATTTTTTTATAAATATCATCACCTATTTAAATGTGAACACATAACTTACCACAATACCAAAAGAACTCCTAAGGTGTCACCATATTCAAGAACTGGAGTTATGAGCAAATCTTCACCGAATCTAAGGGGCTGACAAAGTTGCTTCAATTCGAGGCTGGGCTGGGCGAGTCCTAACCCTCCCCGCCTTCAACCCCCCGCTCACGAAGTAAATGCTTCACTGTAGACACCCCAGGCCCGCAGGGTTCCGGAGGACCCTCCGGACCCCAGCCAAAGAGTAGGCCGCTCCAGGCCAAAGCAAGGCTCAAGCCCCCTCCCCTCGCCCACCACACGTCCATAAGGAACACGCACAATGTGCCCCTTCCACCCCTCACAAATTCCACCACCAGACGAAAATCCACCGGTAGAGGAGGCCTGCACCGGCCCCCCTTCGTGTCGACTGTCTCCGACCAAACTCCTCCACCCCATCTTGCCAGGAAGTGGCCTCCGCGCCGCAGGCCTGCACTTCGCTTCCTCCCCTCCCCCACCCGCGGCCTTCCTCGAACTGGCTCCCCTGGAGAGAAAAGCCCGAGCTCCGCAGCTCATTACCCTTGCTCCCGAACTGGCACTGAACAGGGCACGTCCCGCTCGCAGCAACCACACCGCTGCCTTCCTCCTCGGAGTTCTAGGCCTCTGACTGAAGCAGAGCAGTTCACAGAGAAGCACAATGGCGCCCGCCCCTCTCCGGGATCCGGCACAGCACCAGCCGCTACCGTTAAGGGCCCCGCCCTTCCCCTTCTCCCCCCACTTCGCGGACTTCTCAGGGTCTCGCGAGAGTGGTGGCGCTGCGGGGATCCGTGAGCTGTGGGCTGGCTAGACGTACCCCACCGCGGGGTGGTGCTCTGACTGCGGCAGCCGTTGAAGGGCTGCCCCCGGGGAGGCAGCGAGGCGCCACTGGTAAGCGGCTGTGGCTGGTTGGCCGGCGTGCTGGCGGCTGGGTCGGCGAGGGTGCGGGCTCCGGGAGCAGGAGCTGTATAGGCCCGGCCCTGGTTGGCCGTCCACGCCTGGCTGGCGAGGATCCCTGAGTCAGCCGCGACACTACCTGGCTCCCGGCTCTCCGCACACGGACTCTTGCCCTCCCCTGCAGACCTGCAGGGGCCCCTGCTCGAAATACCGCCAAGCTCTTTTATTCTATTTTCTGTATTTGGCGCTTGGTAAGTGGCGCAGTGAATTTTTATTGAATTGAATCAAGCACTATTTTTCTCGAACCCCCCCTCCTCCCGGCTTGTCTCCCTGCCTGCCCTATTTGATCTGACCGCAAGCCCTCCCCCTTAAAGATTGGAGCCGTTTTGTCCCACTTTGTGATAATTTCCTTGTAATTAAGCCTTGGTATTGGGGAACTTTTACAGTCATATCCTGTAAAATCGTGATATTAACCTTTGATAGCGTAGCTACAGATTTTGCAGTAAAGATTCACCTATCAAAAAGAGGATGGAAAATTGGTCTGGTAAATGGTCTGATAAATATCAGACGAAACTTTCAGAAAACTGATTAAGATGTAAATAAATACTAAACAAAGAATAGACTAGAGAAAAAAACAATTTGTGTGGATTTAGATGATATGTGGATTTTGAATAATGTATCGAAAGTTCTTTAACGGTAAAGTTATTGAAACTTGGAAGCATACTGAAGGCACTTTTTTTTGTGTGTGACCTATTTTGTTAAGTTATTAAAAGCAATCCATTGGATCCAAATAAGTCCAATAAGTGAAACATGGTGTTTATATGTATTTGTCCTTTCATCTGAAGGGAGTGGAGTAGCAATCACTATCCCCATCTTACTGTGTCTTGGAGACTAACAGACTGTCCATGCTTCACTATGACAAATTGCAAAATACCGTAACTTTTAAGGTTTGATTATTATTTAAAGTTGATACCAATAGATACCAATCTAACTTTCAGGGTATAAATTAAAGTTTAGGTGTCTGGTATGGGATCAGTGAACGAGAATTACTTTTGAGGAAATTAATTTGCCCCTAGAGAAAAATAATTTTTTTTCTGCCAGTTTGAGTGCCCCTGTAGGATTGTGGTTATACTAGTATGTGTGTGTGTGTGTGTATGTATGTGTGTGTGTGTATATATATATATATACACACACACACATACATACATACATACATACATACATACATACACACACACACATACACACACACACACATATACATATATATGTATAGTTTGAGTGCCCCTGTAGGATTGTGGTTATACTAGTATGTGTGTGTGTGTGTGTATGTATGTGTGTGTGTGTGTATATATATATATATACACACACACACATACATACATACATACACACACACACATACACACACACACACATATACATATATATGTATATATATGGGCACATAACCTGAAGAACCAGGCAGCATGGGTTCAAATCCCAACCCTACTTCTTACTATCTTTATCTTGAGCAATTCCATAATTTAGCTGAGCCTTAGTTTCCTATAAGATGGGACAAATAACAGTACCTATGTCCCACAGGGTTGTTGAAAGGATTACATGAGATAATGCATCAGTTGCTGGGACACAGTAAGCATTCCATAATTATTAGCTATTATATTCCATGTCTAAACCACCACTAATATTGTCTCTTTTTGGGCCTTAATATTACATAGGTCCCTTAACTTCTTCACAAGTTTATTCTACGCTAAGACGAATGACTGCACCATTTTCCTGAGCTATGGCAGTCAGACCTGGTAGTAGTAACTTCTCTACAGAACCCCCAAACCTGGCAAGGATGGTGCAGATTTTGGCGGGTTATGGCTTCATCCCCACCCAGCACTAATGATATTATCAGAGGTGAGTGTGGCACCAATTTCCTATTCTAAACAGATTTTCCAGATTCTAGTTTTTAAGTGACACTAGTAAATAGGTAAATATCACTGATAAATATGTTTTTATTCTTTAAGAATGGTTAGTTGTGTTTTTTTTAATAATGTATTCTTTGATTTGAGTTTCCAGGTAATTATCATTATCAACAAATAATTATTGAGATTTTGCTGTGTTAAAGACATTTTGCTAGGAATTATGGACGCAGATAGGTACAATACTGACCATATTCTCTGAACTAAAAATCAGGACAAAATGACTTGACAGGCAATTATTTGAAATCCGAACTTTTCAAAACAATCCAGACTCCATGGTTGCCTTTCATCCAGAGTTCCCCCCCTTGACCTTCCTTTGCTAAACTTTTTATCCTTTATGACTGACTCTGATATACCTTTCTGTATCTAAATATCTTTGTTTATCATTTACCCACACCACTCACATTAGTTTCCATTTTTGAGTTTGGCTTCTTCTCTAAGTTAGGGTCATATTTTATTAACTTTCCCTTTCTTCTTTATAAACTTGTCTGTCATAACTAGCCATGGTCATACAGCCCTTCACTGATAGCTTATAATTCTCTTTCAGATATTGAACTTGAAGTTTCTGTTTTCCCTCTTTTTATCTTACAAACCTTCTAAGGAGCTTCTCTATGGCAAGGGCAGTCATATATTCTTTACTTTGAGTAAATGGTGTGATAGTAAAAGGATGTAGTTATATTTGCTTTTTGCAAATCATATAATTTTTAATTATAGATTATTTCTTAAACTTTTGAGAAACAGGAGGTAATAACCCAGGATAGGACAGGAGAACTCATAGTGGGATCCTTGAGATGAAGACAAGGGATGCTAACTTCTCAAATGAGAATCTTATTAATTCCTAGAGAAGGGAACCTGGTGTCATCAACTAATTTGACAATCTACTATTTAAAGTTATAGGTAGATTTCAGTATATACATTGAGGACCCCTACTCCTAAGGAATACGTTACTTAAAGGTCCTTTGCTGTAAATCTTTGATGTAAGGAATTCCTTTCATGCCAAAAATAACAAACCTCCGAGTTAGTGCCTTTATAAACTTTCATTGTTCTCATATCAAGTTTTTTTGAAAGGTGCCACATTTAATAAATGAGTATCCAAAATATTGGTTGGCTTCTGCTAGATTAGCAGCAAAACCTTTCAATCCCGAAAGTCAATAGTTAAAAAGATATAAAAACACATGAAGGAATACCATCTTGAAACTCTCTGAGGAACTTCTTTTAAACTTGAGTTTACAGTCTAGATCTCACTGCGTCTAGGAGGATCGTTCTTGCTCATAATTGCTCCAGAATATCTGGCCTGGCCAAGAACAGTTCCCAATATATGGGGCACTTGGAATCCATGTGTGAAGCACCTTTTACACTGCCTGAAACATAGAGAGTACCTAGTAGAAGGAGCTATCTTCTATTAGTGATAAAACTGGGGGTTGGAAAACTGTGGTACAAGGCCATATCTGGCCCACCACCTGTTAATGTAAACACTTGTGTTGGAACACAGTCATGCCTATTAGTTTATATATTCTATATATTTAGTCAGGGTTCTCCAGAGAAACAGAACCAATAGTTTACAATATGTTACCTATCAATGTGTCTATCAAGAGATTTATTTTAAGGAATTGGCTCATGCAGTTGTGGGGGCTGGCAAGTTTGAAATTTGTAGGGCAGGCTGGAAACACAAACAGGAGTTGATGCTGCAGTCTTTGGGGAGAATTTCTTCTTCTCTAGGAAACCTCAATTTTTGCTCTTGATGTGGATGGGCCTCATCCAATCAGAGTTAAGGCCCATCCACATTATCAAGAGGAATCTCCTTTACTTAAAGTCATCAGTTGTAGATGTTAACCATGTCCAAAAAATACCTTCACAGCAACGCCTAGATTTGTTTAGATTAAATAACTTGGTACTCTACACTTGCCAAGTTGACACATAAAATAAACCATCACGGTCTATGACTGCTCCTACCTTAAGATGGCAGAGTTGAGAAGTTGTGACAGAGACAGTATAACCCAGAAAGCCTAAAATATTTACTATCTAGTTCTTTACAGAAAGTTTGCTGACCTCTAGAATAAACCATAAAACCAGATTGAACTGAATCCAGCCACACACTAATACACACACACGCATGCGCGCACACTCACACACAAACTTACTTCAGAATGATAATAAGCAGTGTGCTTGGCCTCCATGGCCACTTCAGACCTCATGTTCTGAGACTAGAAGCAGAAGAGAATACTGTTATAATTGTTTGGGTATTCCTTCTGACACATTTGGTTGCACCCCCCTTTTTATCTTAGATTTTTTTTAATGTCCACATATGTGTACAGTTTTATAAAAAGGTATGTTTATGATTATATCATACATACTAGCTATTTTAATGTAGTCCTTTTCTTTTCCTTTTTAATTTGGCTCTCCTGTCTCTATCTACTACTCCACAAACATCCTTTGCAACTCATGTTGACAACTACTAGGTATCCCTCCGCCTTTTTTCTGCATGGTCACATGATCATCATAAAAGAATCTTGTGCGTGTGTGTATGTATACAGAAGAACTCATGCAGATTGATTGATAAGTATTTCTATACACATATACTATATGTAATACATATACACCTTGTGTAATACATACATTCCTTTTTGTAAAAATGTATATGTATGACATGAAAAAAAATTTAAGAAAAAAGGGAGATGCAACCAAATTTGTCTATATCTATGTACTTTTTTCACTCAATGGTACCTCTTCTCCGAATCCCTGTTTATAATTGGTTGTTCATCCTTTCTTTTAAATTTCTGGTAGATGTTACAACTCTGCTACATTAACAGTTTTTTTCCAGCT